GGAACAGAAAGCCCAGATATGTCCGGTAAGCTATGATACTTCTTTGTATTAACTGATATACCAGAATTATCATTTATCCCAAAGAAGCTAGAGTCATGATGATAAGTCCTTTCAGATTTTAATGCACTACCTCTAGAAACTGTAACATTCTCAAATCCCGGAGGCTGAGCAGGAGCTACCCCATTCTGGGATTTTTGTCTCGGTGCAAAAGCCAAGGGGCCTCTATAATTTGTAGGACCCATGGCAGGAAGTTCTGATGCAGGTAATTCCATCTGATCATTCACGCAATTGGTGCTTCTATCCTTACCAATTCGATTAAGGTAAGATGCAATCTGATATCCATGCACTGTAGCTGGTTGATAATCCCGTGCAGCAGCAGATGACGCAGCACGCAAACTGGAATACCTCCATTCATTAGAATCAACATTACACAAACTAGAGTACCTCCTTTCATCAGAATCAACATTACGCAAACTAGAGTACCTCCTTTCACCAGAATCAACATTACGCAAACTGGAATACCTCCTTTCACCAGAATCAACATTATGGTTAGAATTTTGATCACAAGCATCTAACAGTTGTGTGTGGTTTGACCATAATGATGAAGATCCTCCTGAATATACATATGATAAATCAATACTATTTTGCATCTTCAGTTGCTTCAGAAAGTCATACAGACTTGAACAATTGAGCGCATCAGATCCTCTTCCGCTGACCAAAGGGAGACACCCACCATACTCATTCCATTCAGTATCCACTTTTAATGGTTTTGAATCAACAGCTAATAACACATCTAGTTTCTTCACCTTGGCTTCTTGAGTAGGTTGCCCTTGAAAATCATACAATTGGCCCCAAAATTCATCAAGAATGGCAACTAATTGACGCCTTGCAGCACGGCCTAATCCTGCTAATCTGGATAGACTTCCAGTTCCATTCCCACCATCATCACTTTTCCCGCTGAGGCTCCTGAATGAAGGAGGGCCATCTGGTGTCAAAGAGGAAATGCTTCCAGACGGTGGTTTGGACAACTCTTCAGGCTCGCAAGAATATCCATCGTCATCTTTTTCAATCTGCAGATCTCCCTTAATACTCACTGTTTTCTCCAGAGGCTTCATTGATTCGATCTTCAGAGTCTTCGTGTCTGGTACCTCGTCCGCCACCTCATCAACTCGAGTGGAAGCCGACTCAGTTACGGATGCTGGTTCCTCAGAGTTATCACTTCAGTGGCTAGGATACACACCATTAGAACTCTCATTAACAGTTGTCAAACGTATGTCCTGTTCAGACTCCATGATCGTTTCAGGCAAATCCAGATTATAATGTCGAAAAGATAAATCTGAAAAACTTTCAATGGACTTTTCTGGTGCTGCTGATCTTTCAGGCATATGGGCAGGTCCCTCTCCACGATATTGAGTTTCACTTAACTCATTCTCCTCTCTCTCTATAGCCATCTCAGAAACAGTTCTGTTCAAATCCCATTTCAACGTCTGAGTTTTACATTTGGAACTGGCAGATTTAAGAGGAGTAGCTGCTAACCAAAGCATCAAAGAAAATGACGCACAAGCAGTAGCCAGAAGAACAACAAAAGAAGTAGGCATGCTAATCCCGGCATTATATCTCAAATTACCAGCCCAGTCACTACTCCCGAATATCATTTCTACCACAAAAATTATCTTTAAACCTAGCATTCCCATGAATGTTATCAGTGAAAGGAACTCCACAATTGGAGAAATCTTATAGACACCCATAATGGGTCTCGATGAGGCAACTCGAAACAAGGGGATCACTGAAGACGGCAACAAAAGGGCTACCATAACCTGAGCAAAGATAAATATCTGGTATACCCCCTCAGGTCCAGAAGTCCACACACAATAAAGAGCTGGAACCATTGCTACAATTCTGATTGTTGCGCATTGAAGCCAACCCGGTATTTCAAGCCCAAGGAAATCGTGCAAGACAACTTGCCCACCAAGATTCCAGGTTGATGCAGTGAGTTGATTAGATAAGAACATAACCAGCAAAAAGACTAGGGGCAGTATACCATTCCTAAATAACTGTTTGATTCATTTCAAGAGGAATTTATTAGTATCCACACATAAATTGAATTGTCGAGAAATATTTGCACATGACTCTTAAAAGCCATCATAAACAATAGTTTATCAGAAAAAGTAAAGGAATAAAAACCTGTTCCATTAGTGACATTGCATCATAAAACGTAACCAAGGCAAGGCCTGCACTGTAGAATACATTTGCAGCTGAATTCATCAGCACAAAATTTACTAGATAAATTCCACCAAAACCGCACAAGATGGAAAAAAGATGGTTGTGGCATAAGGTCCTCTTAGAAATATTCTGTGGTCCCAGATGCTCCTGTGGACATGAGAACAAATTTTGAGAAAGTTGAGAAAGAATAACATCAAAGAACCATAAAACAGAACTAAATGATATTGCACGCATAAAATAGATTAGGTGCACCATTTGTCTGTCCCATAGTTTGAAAATGGTATGAGCTCCAAAATTAAAGCACGAGGCAATAAATATCAGGCTACCCTATATTTCAGAACGATGTCGTAACAATAAAAATTCCACTCGAACAGGAAAATCTATATGAAATTAACTCAATTTGGGGTGAATGTACAAGGACATCATCCAAGTGAAAAGATTCTGAGTAGCGTTCTAAATCCAAGTATTGTCAAAGAAAATGTCAAATTCTCAATCCATGGTAATTGACATATAAGACCCGTACACAAGAATCATATGCATACATATATACACAGTCCTACCAAATATACCTTAACAATAAATTCAAGAGAATAAGGGATTCTTCAGTCCAAGGTAATTGAAATATAAGACCCGTACACAAGAATCAAATGCATACACATATACACAGTCCAACCAAATATACCTGAACAATAGAAGAATGTAGATAAAAATTATGAGGCATTATGCTAGCTCCAAGAAGACTCATCATGGCAAATGCACTCTCCCCGCTCAACTTTGTTGGTATCCCAGTCATGGAAATAGAAATTTCGGGTTGATTGAGGAGCACTTCAAAAACATAAGAAAGCAATATGAAACCCACTGCATAGATGCATAGGAAACTTGCCCTGCGGTGATCCTAAATATTGAAAATTGTTTAGGCTGTTATTATGTTGCAAGAAAGAGATTGTGCAATAACAAAACAAAGCAGTTTAGCATACTAAGAAGGTGGCAAACACTGGGAATAGAAGAGCATCAAGAGCAGCTAGAAAAACACCAGTAGACAGATCCATTCCAAAGAGAATATTAATCCCATGTGCTACACCCAATACCTGGGAAAATATAGACATTTGATGTTAGAATGAAACAAATATCACCATATATTCTGCGAATAAAAAATTACATCTGCCTAAGTTGCATCATAATTTGGAAAAGGAAGCTACCATGGTAAGGTCCAACACAACCACAGAAAGCTCTGCTTGAACTCCTAAGAATATACGAGTCGACTTGTTGTACTCGTAGCTGCAAATCTATCATCACCAAAAATTAAGGAATAAATAAGTATGATGAAAAGAGAAAGAGCAATATCCACAAATACAAAAACACCTCTGCAAATACGATACCTGATATAATCACTTACTTAAAGATTAATAAGCATGAATTTGGAAAAATAAGTAAACAACTTACATTTGGAAGTTCAACTAAATCATTTTGTTACATTTTACATACTTCTGTAAGTATATGGGGAAAGACAAAAAAGGTTGTCCAAGAAACTGTCCTATAAATAGAAATACAGAATAATTCCTAATGTTTTGTGGTACCTGAGCAAGATCTCGTCCAGTCACTACACCAATTCGAGCTGAAAGGTATTGACACAAAATGGCAGCACAATTAAAAAGAAGCATGGGGACTACCAGATCAAAACCAAACCGTGCACCTCCTTCAACAGTTGCAACCCACTTTCCAGGGTCAACATATCCTACTGATATTAGAAGAACAGGTAAAACAGCAGGAAGCATCCGATGTAGGACACCTTGTTGGTGGTTATCATCCCCTCTCTCAGCTTCCATGTTGTTAACTATAAATTCAGATAATATGCAAGTTACAGTGCAGTGAAGCTTCTAAATAACCTCTTCAGAATCATTTGGACCATTTGGAAGGCTAGAAATTTTATTGTCTTTAAAGGGGGAAAGCTTGATCAGTTAGAGTTATTTTTCTTATCACGAGTTAGGCTGGCTTCTTGGTTTCTAGCTAAGCACAAGGACGTTTCTATTCATAAGGATTCCTTGATTATGGATCCTTCATTAGCAGATTCCTACTCGCCCTACAGCTCTATGAAGTCTTCCTCATTCCCTTGGGGACCTCCCCCTTCTGGTTTTTTTAAATTGAATGTGGACGCAGCCGTTAGTAGTGACTGGAAGAAATCGGGTATAGGAGGTATTTGGAGGGATCATTCAGGTTCAGTCCTAGGTTCTTTTCAAGAGTCAGCTGGTCCGGGACTTCCGACTATGATCGAACTTAAAGCTATTCAGAGGGGTATTTCATTATATGCTTCTGCTCAAGGGAGGGTCAAAGATAGGATGATTGTTTAGAGTGATAGCAGGGTTGCAGTAGACTGGATCAACAATGTCAATTCATGCCCAGTTGTTTATGCTTTCGTTGTTAGTGATATAGTTGACAATCTTAGATCTTGGGGGGTTATAAATTGGGTTGCTAGGTCAGTTAATATGGACGCCGATGCTTTAGCAAAAGCTGGAATAGGCTAATTTTTATGTTGTTTGCTGTTTCAGTTTAGCATTTGATTCCTGTTCGGGTGGGATTTATAGACTGTTGTAAGGGTTATTTCGAAGAGATTTATCGAGGTTGTAATCTTATTTTCTTTTATGAAAATCTAATGCGCTCTTTTCCTCCTTCCAATGATTAAGGAGCTTCTTTTCAAGATCCATTAATCAAGAAGGAGGTTTTTAATGAGGCCTTCTAATCTTATCAAAAAAAAAAATAACCTCTTCGGAATAGCAAAAGAACCTTCAATGCTCAAGATGTTATACAATTACATGGTCGTCCCCAATGACCGAATCTTGTGAGAAAGATGATACACATCATAAGATATTCAGCTAGATATTAGCAAGTTTACTGATTAGACATACTTGCAAGAATATAGTCAGCTCATTTTCTGCAAAGCTTGCTACAACAAATGTACATCTTACAACAGCCCAGGCACAGCAGGACTAATGAGCATCTAAAATACACTTTCCAAGAACCAGTGCTACCGCAGCTGCTGAAAGACCAAAATTCCAGCCACAGCTGTAACCAGAAGACACCAATCTAATGCTTGCAGTCCAACAAAGTACTGTCGGAACCTTATGTATTTCCATTTACGGATTGTTGATTATTCCAACTGATGCAGGACATCTACCAATAACTTGAATCGGCATCAAAGGACAGACACTCTCAGTTCTAGTCCCAGCGAACAAAAACAAATAATTCAAACAAATTCCTCCAACGAAAGAACCTACAACATCAAACCCAAATCAAATCAGTAAAACCAGATAAATACCATCAACCTTTAGAACATAAATACAAGACAGAAATCAATGGATCAAAGTCAACATGTAAAATGAATCAAAACTAATATTTACTACAAATCGGGATTAAGCCATTTGGCCAAGCTTCAAAACAAATCTGCTCCAAATCCAGAACCAAAATCATCAGAGAGCACAATAAGCAGTGAACTTCATAAGTTTCCCAAAAATGTACAATTGATCACAGGGTTTTAAATAGCGGTCCTCGACCGCGATAACGCCCGTGAAATAGCGGTAGCGTTGCCTTCCGCTATACCCGCAATAGCACCCGCTATGGCGTAATCGCGGTAAACGCAACATGATCGAAAACGTGACCGCGACTTGAATCCTTGATTGATCAAGTTATTCGCACGAATAAAGAAAATAGTCTAGGGTGAACTAATTCAAGGACATAAAGCACTCCACATCACCGCAAGTTTACTTTCCAAACAAGGGACTTAAATTGTGAATGCGGTAGCGTTTTCTGTTGCTTTCCGTTTATCGCAATTGCGGAAATAGCGGTTATTATACAGGTCATTGTGGGTATCATGGTTCTGATGTAACGGTTTTGAACAGCAGATTAACCTATATATCGGTCGCTACTCCGATAACATACCACTATTTAAATCCCTGTTTCAAACTAAGTTTCACCATCAATTCTAATCAATAGCAATAAAGATCAGTACATAGAAACAAACCAAAATAAACAACCAGAACACGAATACAGCAACAACAAAATCACAAACCTCATAATACAATGCGGAAAAAAATCTTAAAACTTAAAATCCCAAGCTCAGATCTTCCTAAAAACATCATCAAAGAAAGCAAAAGTGTAAAACTCAAAACCCCACCAAAAAGAAACCTCAAAAATGAACAAAGCACCGAGGAATCAATACGAATTAAAATCAATCCCATGGATCTGATTCAGCTCAATAACTAAAAAAACAAAAAGAAAAACGTCTGCACAAGTTCCAAGGTAGATTACACATAAAGCAAAAAAAAAACCACAATCGAAAATCGAAAAATATATATTAATATTAAAAAATAATCAAGGAAAGCTAAAACAGAGAAAAGGAGTAGAATTGGATTAGGGTTTTGGCCTTTCATGAAGTGAGAACAAAAAACGTTTTGATTTTTACCTTGTGGTAAAGAGCTCAGGAGAAGGAGCTTATCTGCTATCTTTTTCTATGCAATCTCTATCTAAAGGAAGGGCAGTTTCTCAAGGATTTTATTTATATATATATTTTCTCAAAAAACAGAGAAAAAAAAGGGAGAGAGCTTTGTTTTCAGAAAGAGAAAAGGATATTAGTGGATATATATTTTAGAAAAAATAATTTTAGTGACCAAAAATTTCATATAATATATGATTTTAATTAATTTTTTTGGATTTGTTAAAATGATCAATAAAATCGCAATGCAATCGCTAATTCGCAACGCGATCTCCATTATCGCAAATCAGTTTCCAAATTCGCAACGCGATTATAACTATCGCAATGCGATTTTCCAATTTCGCGTTGCGATTTTCCCAATTCGCAATGCGAATAAGTAAATCGCAATGCGAATTTGGAAAATCGCAATGCGATACTGACTATCGCAATGCAATTTTCTTAATTCGCATTGCGATTTACGTATTCGCGTTGCGATTTTCATAATTCGTAATGCGAATACGTAAATCGCAATGCGGATACGTAAATCGCAATGCGAATCTTACTATCGCAATGCGATTTACATAGCGCCATTCGTATTAACGCGTATTTTTTTTTAAATTCCAAACACGAATTTTTTCTTAATAAATCGGAAACTGAACCGTCCACAGTAATCGCAACTCATAACCTCAAACCTAAAATCACAACACTCAGTCCCATCTCCATCTCTCACTCTCTACGGCGAAATCTGTCCCCATCTCCGAAGATTTCCGTCCCCATCGCCGGCGAAATCCCTCACAACCATTCACAGTCAAAAATCCCTCACAATCATTCAGAAATGGAAAATCAACCTCCGAGGGTTAGTTTTTTTTGTTGTTGAAAATTTTGCATTATTTTAGGTTTTTCATATTGAGATTGATGATAAGTTTACTGATAATTTCAATAATAGATTAACCATTTCACTTAGATTTCTTATTAAATTCATTCGATTGCTGCCAATACTGCTAAACTGTTTAGCCTGTGAAGTTAGTATTTGTCTTTGTTTTGTCTTTTGGTTGAAGTAATGCAGAAGAAGAATAGTTTCGAGAATGAAAATCGCAACGCGGAAATAACTATCGCAACGAGAGAATCGCAACGCGAAATAAAAATCGCAACGCGAAATAAAAATCGCAACGCGAAACCAAAATCGCATTGCGATTTTCATTTCGCGTTGCGATTCTCTCGTTGCGATTTTCATTTCGCGTTGCGATTTTCATTTCGCGTTGCGATTCTCTCGTTGCGATAGTCATTTCGCGTTGCGATTCTCTCGTTGCGATAGTCATTTCCGCGTTGCGATTCTTATTATGTCGTTGCGATTTTCATTTCAACCAAAAGACAAAACAGTGTTGCAAATTTTAGTTTCAATAATAAACTACTATTTATGTTTATTGTTTTTGGTATATCTTAACAGTGTAGTTTTTGGTATATCTAACTTGGTATGTTTATTGTTTTTGTAGAAATTGTTTTCGGCTTCATTGACATTAAGGAATAAAGTTAGCCTAGCCACTACAATTGCTTCGAAGCTTTCACCTGCACAAAGAAAATTGTTTGAGGAAACCTGCTTCGGGCCATGGCTGAGAGTACAACATCCGGGTGGAGATGCTAATTTGACCCATTTGTGGCTTCAGACCATGACTAGCGATCTACCCGACAGTATACAACGTGGTGAGGAAGAGATATGGTTTCATTTTCCACCGGCGTATACTTGTTTTGGGCGGAAGGAGTTCTGCTTAATCACTGGTCTACGATTCGGACACGATGATGTAGGCCGGAACACTCGTCATATCACCCGCCCATCATGGTTATCCAGGGTTTTTCCTGATGAGTCAATAAAGAAGCCGAACTTACACGTCGACGACATGAAGAAATTGTTTAATAAGAAAGATGGTTTTACTCGGATGAATGACGTCGATGTTGTCCGAGTATGCCTTCTACTACTTTTGTATGCCGGCTTTTTAGGCAGAGAGGCCATACAACCTATTCCTCAGGAGCTAATATTATTGGTAGAGGACCTAAATGCATGGAATCTGTTTCCGTGGGGTTCGTATATATGGAAAGCTACCTGGACTAAGTTGTCGTCTGCCTTTGATGACCGCAAAAGTTTACAGGGCGATGGGTCGAAATACACTTTGTCAGGCTTTGTTTGGGCCTTTAAGGTAAGAATTTCTATATAATGTTTTCAAAATTATAATTAATTATTTAACAATTACTAATGTTTGTTATTATATTGTTTGTAGATTTGGATATTCGAGACCTTTCCCGCCATGAAGACATATACAATAAAAACTTCAAATGATATTCCCAGGGCTATTTCCTGGAAGAGGAAACGTCTGTTGGATTGGGAAGACTTAATACCATATTCGACAATAAATAATGTAAGTTAACACAAATACTATCATATATAAACAAGTTATTAATAGTAGACGTTTAACTTTGTTTGAGTTTTTATATTTTTAGGAGGCCAACATTCCATTAATGAGACTGACACCCACGGAGGCTGAGCTTGCCACTGATTGGTGGCAAGCTAGTCAGCGTTTTCTTGATGGCACGAATGATGAGCAGCCTCCACTTCCTCCACTTCGAGAGCCATCACCTCACCCAGAGCCATCACCTGATCGACCCGACTATACACCTCTACAACGAGAGCCATCACCTATCCCGTCACATCATCGAGCCTCTTCTCCACCATCACCTCATGATAGGCGACCGGCAAAGATGCCACGAATTCTATCTCCCTGTTCTCCACCTCCACGGGATGAGTCAAGGGAGTTACGTGATGAGGTCAATGCCTTGCGTGAGGAGATCGGTACTCTACACGATAACGATGGTGCATGGCGTGTGGAGGTGTCTACTTTACGTGGTGAGGTTGCCGCTCTACGTGAGATGGTAGTATCGTTGCAGAATGACGTTCATACTCTATGCAACGAGGTAAGTTTAAGATTTTCCATATTTAACTTGATGATAAATTTACTCGTAATTTCACTTAAATTAACCATTTCACTTAGATTGCTTAGTAAATTTATTCGGTTGCTGCCAATACTGCTAAACTGTTTATTAACACTGTGAAATTAGTATTTGTCTTTTTGTTTTGTCTTTTGGTTGAAGTAAATTTATTCGGTTGCTGCCAATTCTGCTAAACTGTGTATTCTTTAACACTGTGAAGTTAGTATTTGTCTTTGTTTTGTCTTTTGGTTGAAAGTTTGAAATATATTTGTCTTTGTTTTCACTGTTTAAATATCATGTCTGTTTATTTACTGATATTTGTATTTAATTATTTAGCGGACCGATAAGGTGGATGCTTTACGTCGGGTTTTTCTTGCACGACAGAGTTCACGCATCAGACGGCGTGCACGTGCTATTAAGTCTCCGTATACCCCAATAGTACGAAGACACCACAAGAAGAAGCCCGACTCGCCTGTCATCCCTCGAGAGTCCACTCCTATCGTTGAAGAGGCCCCTATCATTCCTCGAGAGTCCCCTCCCACCGTTCAAGAGGCCACTGTCATCGTTGAAGAGGTCCCTCACACCATTCAAGAGCCCGATTCACATGGCGTCATATGTAGGATTCTTGAGAAACCCTCTGACGTGCCGGACATGATGGATTCAAGTTGGCTCTCATATGAGTTACCGGCCAGTACCATACCGGTATCTGAAGTGGAGAGGAAACAACTACCGGACACAATTCTGGATAACACCCTTTGGGCTAAGACCGCAATTGATTTTTATCTACATGAGCGGAGCCAGGGGTGTTTCACTGACATATGCAAGCTCAACGATGATATCTATTTGTTGCTTGATCGGTCTTGGTGGGGCGTATTATTAGGGGTCGAAGACAATGGCTATTTCGATGGAGTGGTAAGTCTTATATTTTTCTTATATTTTAATTTGATTTTTTTTTTTAAATTTATGTAAGTTACTAATATATGTCTTTTTTTGTAAAACAGCATATCGATGTGTAGGTGTCACGTCTTCTAATAATTAGGAAACTTAAGGAAAATAAAAGAAATACACGATATACAATTATGCCGACGTCTTTTAACGCCGTTCACTTGAAGAATCAACGAGATGAATCGTTTGCGTTGGGCAATGGACAAGCTAAACTTTATCCTGCATGGTGGGAGGTCGATAAGGTTAGTGTTTATTTTAGATTGAGTTTAAAGGTATTCATAAATAAATGCACAAATGAATGAATTATTACTTATGATTGCAGGTGTTTATCCCTGTTTTGGAAATGTAAACATTGGCTTCTCGTCGAGCTTCAGATCCTATCCCTTAAGGCAATAGTATATGACAACATAATAAATTACATATCATTGGCTGATTTAAGAGATATTATTAAGGGATGGAGCTCTTATTTGGCTAAATTCTTGGATGCGATAAATTATTGGACTCGTTCTGGAAACAAGAAGCCAAAGAAGCTCAATATTACAGTTAGCAGAGACGAGACCGCACCACAACAAACGAAAGGACCCAGAGGGGATTGTGGTCCTCTCGTATGCTTGGCGTTGGACCGTTTGATCACAGGAAGTATAAAGTATATACCTCCCACCGATAGAGATAGAGCTGCAGTAGGCTTGTGGTTTCGGCATTATATGGCTAGATCGATATATACGAGACGCTGCCTACCTGCATCCGTGTTATAAAAATATCCATAAACAATTGGTATGTTTATAGGCTTGTGGTTTGAAAATGTTTGGTTAAGTACCTAGAATTCAATAATTTGCTGTTTGTAGGTTTTAGATGTGTATAAAGTGTTGTTTGAGCAAATGTTTGGTTTATGCAGGTTAATCTCAGAAGTGAGATGCGTGAAAATGATGTATGGCTACAAAAGTTGATTCAATAGTAGATGAGGAAATAAGAATTATTGCTTATTTTTTGATTGTTTAATTGATTTGTAAAAGGTGATTTGTAAAAGTTGATTTATTTAATTGATGTTAACATAATTCTTATTTGTGCTTGTTTAATTGATTGAAATGTAATGGTTGATTTTGTTGATTTCAATCTGCATTATGTTGAAGGAAAAAAGTACTATCGCA